CTGACATGGCCACTCCTAATAAATCAATTTTGTTTACTCTGAGAGATGCGGCTAGAGACTTATGATTTGAATGGGGGTGTATTGTCGGAGCCTTGACACTACCCTGATTCACTTCACAACTATGGCAATTAAGGTCGTAAAATGGGGCAAAACTCACTCAACCTATGTTTCGCTTAGCAACAGCAATTTTGGGTTCAGTTGCGGTCGTTGTCGAGGACTACCAGTAATGATCTCAAAAATCATCCTTACGCAGCCTAAACCCAACTGATAAGTTCATTTTTTTACCTGCTGGTTCTGCATGATCTTGGCAAGCCGATGTCCGTCATATTGCTTGGGCAAAGAGGGAATGTACATGTCCCCTTTCTGAAACCTTTCTTCTTCCAGCCACAGAACAAATGTGGTAAAGAGCCTGAAAACACATCCAAAACAGAAGGTTTGAAGCAGGAGCTCTCCTGTTGGTTGTTATGTAACACACACAAGTATCTTCAGGCCGTATATGATGCAAAAGAAACATAAAAGACCAGGCTGAATCCCCAGTTGCTTTCAAAGTATGACTTAACCAGTTTCATAAATTATCCGAGCATCCATCATGAAGCCAAAAAGGTCCTCAGAAACCTGATAGGGCCGTGATGACGAACCTATGGCACGCGTGCCACAGGTGGCACGCAGAGCCATTTGTGCAGGCACGCGAGCCGCAGCCAAACTTACCTGCACTGAGCATACGTGTGCCTCCCAGCTGATTTTCGGCCCGTTTGAGGCCGTTTTCGCCCTCCTGGAGGCTCAAGGGAAGCCTTTGCAGCCTCGGGAGGCCGAAAAACTGGCCTTCCGGAAATACCGGAAGTGCCAAAACGGGCCAGTTTTCAGCCTCCCAAGGCTGCAGAGGCTTCCCTTGAGCCTCTGGGAGAGCGAAAATGGCCTCCCCCAGGCTCCAGAGGCCTCCGTAGGTAGAAAACGGGCACTTCTGGTATTTCCGGAAGGCCCATTTTTCGGCCTTCCAAGGCTGCTGTTGTGGTTAGCCGGCAGCAGATGCAGATGGCTGAGGAGAGCGATGACTCTGATGAGGGGCCAGAACCATCAGGGAGTGGACTGCTGCCTTCAGAGATTGTGGGGGCTGGCAGCAGTGACGAGGAGGTTCCCAAGGAGCCTGTGCCAAATGCACGTGCACGAAGGATTTCTCGGAGGAAAGAACAATTACAGCAGCACAGGTGACTCAGGAGTAAGGTTATAAGGTAATGGCCCCTCCCTCAAGAGGATAAAAGCCGTGTTTGGAAAAGCATTCTTTGCAGACAGCAAAGAAGCTCTGAAGCTCAACTTGTGGACATCATAGTTCGTATTTGGAGAATCTTGTAAATTAGTTCTTATCTCTGGGTTTTTGGCAGCCTGGACAAACAACTTGGCAAGGTTCTTTCTTGTCGGAGCAAATTAGTGGAAAGCAATTTGTTATTAATCCTTAAAAGGTGGGGGCTGCTGCCTTTGTCTGTGTTTGCTCTTTGGGATCCCGGTTGGGCCAGAGGCTTCCTGCGAGGGCGAAAACGGCCTCAAACGGGCCAAAAATCAGCTGGGAGGTACGTGCATGTGCACTGCAGGTAAAGGGGTGGGGGGGGTGCGGGGGGGGGGGGGGGGGGGGCAGGACGCATTGCATTGTGGGTGCCGGTACATGCGCACTTTTGGCACACCACAACAAAAAGGTTCGCCCTCACTGTGCAGGCATGATATTCCCCAATGAAAAAAAAATTGGGGCCAGCCAAAAGAGGCCCCGCGCCACGAGCCAAGAATTCGCGCACACAACACCAACGCTACACACCCTTCCTTTCCAGCCGGTCACGTGTGGATCAGCTCCAGAGCTGGGCAGCCGCTTCCCTGGGGGCAGGGCCGAGGCCGCCGCCCGGGGAGCGCCCGCTGCTTTCCCTCACCAGGGCCGGGCGGTGGCATGTTGCACGGAGAGACGGATGGTCCGTGGCTGCCCAGCTCCCTTTTCCTGCCGCTCAGCGGCCTCCGCTCGCACCGCCCAGGCTCCGCTCAGGTGTCCGGCTGGGGCTGTCAGGAGTTGCTACCGCCGGCGTGGCTCCGCGCGACTCCAGTCCCGCGTTGCCTTGGGAAGGAAAAGGCAAAACCGGGAGCTGCTGCGCCTGAGCCTCCGGTGCCGCTGCTGCTGTTGCAAAGCGCCGCCGCGGCTCTTCCTTTTTGCCTTTCCCTTCCCGAGGCAACGCGGGACTGGAGCCGCGCCGGCGGTAGCAACTCCTGACTCAGGGGGCCTCCGAGGGGAGGGGAAGGAGGAGAAGAAGGGGGGGAAGGGGGGGTGGGCGATTTCCAAAAAAATCGGAATTCCGATTTTAATCGGAAGAATATCATGTCTGACTGTGATAGGGGTTCTTCAAACAAGCGTGTTGGGCTTTGTCCACAATGGAATCACTTCTTCCTGAAGGCTACATTGGCTTGGGACAATTCAGGACAGATCTTGGTGGATCTCCATCCAACCTCTGTGCATCCATGGACTCCCGTGTTAGCAAAGAAAACACCAACCTGAAGGCCATCTGAGGTTACCTGACAAGGTCCTTGTGAAGCTCTAGGAAAGTCACATAATTGGCCTTGCTGAACCCTTTTGCTGTTGGCTTTTCGCTCCCACCCGCTGGGCTCTCCAACTGGAGCATTTTGCTAGCCGAATGGTGGAAGTCGCTGGCCTCAATCAGATGCTGCTTCAGGTCATTCAACAGGCTGAGGTGAACAGGACTCTGGAAAAATCTCTTCCCAATGCAGCCATCGTTGGGTAGCCTTAAAAGCAGAAATCCTGTTGTTTATAATCAACACAAACCAACCATGGTGGGATTCAAAATTATTTACTATCATTCTGGGGTCATGGCTTGGTGGGCATCAGCTGGTTTGGTGGGTGTGGCAGGAGAAGGATACTGCAAAATCTACATTCCCTCCCCATCCCACTAACCTGCTTTCCAGCTCCGTTCTCCTGTGCAGGGCAACCAAAGAAGACCCAACCGATCAGCTGGGACTCAATGGGAGGCAGAGAAGAGATGGGGTTGTGGGGCCGGTCAGAGGCGGGATTGGCCGGTTCTCCGGACTACTCAAAATTTCTGCTATTGGTTCTCCAGAACTGGTCAGAACTGGCTGAATACCACCTCTGAAACCAACTGATTTTAGTGTTCCTGGTGTGTAATTAACGGTATGATTCTACGCCTTTTCTTTCCCATTCTTAACGCACATTTTTTTAAAAAGAAAAAAATTACATATTTTAAAGGTCTTCTTTGAAATATACACTGCTCAACAAAATAAAGGGAACACTTAAACAACACGATGTAACTCCAAGTCAATCACACTTCTGTGAAATCAAGCTGTCCACTTAGGTAGCAACCCTGATTGACAATCAATTTCACATGCTGTTGTGCAAATGGAATAGACAACAGGTGGAAAGCAGAGGCAGGTAGCAAGACATCCCCAATAAAGGAGTGGTTCTGCAGGTGGTGACCACAGACCACTTCTCAGTTCCTATGCTTTCTGGCTGATGGTTTGGTCACTTTTGAATGCTGGCAGTGCTTTCACTCTAGTGGTAGCATGAGACGGAGTCTACAACCCACACAAGTGGCTCAGGTAGTGCAGCTCATCCAAGATGGCACATCAATGTGAGCTGTGGCAAGAAGGTTTGCTGTGTCTGTCAGCGTAGTGTCCAGAGCATGGAGGCGCTACCAGGAGACAGGCCAGTACATCAGGAGACGAGGAGGAAGCCAACAACCCAGCATCAGGACTGCTACCTCCGCCTTTGTGCAAGGAGGGACAGGAGGAGCACTGCCAGAGCCCTGCAAAATGACCTCCAGTGGGCCACAAATGTGCATGTGACTGCTCAAACGGTCAGAAACAGACTCCATGAGGGTGGTATGAGGGCCCAACGTCCACAGGTGGGTGTTGTGCTTATAGCCCAACACCGTGCAGGACATTTGGCATTTGCCAGAGAACACCAAGATTGGCAAATTCGCCACTGGTGCCCTGTGCTCTTCACAGATGAAAGCAGGTCCACACTGAGCACATGTGACAGATGCGACAGGGTCTGGAGATGCCATGGAGAATGTTCTGCTGCCTGCAACATCCTCCAGCATAACCGGTTTGGCAGTGGGTCAGTAATGGTGTGGGGTGGCATTTCTTTATGGGGCTGCACAGCCCTCCATGTGCTCGCCAGAGGTAGCCTGACTGCCATTAGGTACCGAGATGAGATCCCTCAGACCCCTTGTGAGACCATATGCTGGTGCGGTTGGCCCTGGGCTCCTCCTAATGCAAGACAATGCTAGACCTCATGTGGCTGGAGTGTGTCAGCAGTTCCTGCAAGATGAAGGCATTGATGCTATGGACTGGCCCGCCCGTTCCCCAGACCTGAATCCAATTGAGCACATCTGGGACATCTCGCTCCATCCATGTCTCGCTCCATCCATCAACGCCACGTTGCACCACAGACTGTCCAGGAGTTGGGGGATGCTTTAGTCCAGGTGTGGGAGGAGATCCCTCAGGAGACCATCTGGCACCTCATCAGGAGCATGCCCAGGCATTGTAGGGAGGTCATACAGGCACGTGGAGGCCACACACACTACTGAGCCTCATTTTGACTTGTTTTAAGGACATTACACCAAAGTTGGATCAGCCTGTAGTGTTTTTTTCCACTTTAATTTTGAATGTAACTCCAAACCCAGACCTCCATGGGTTGCTAAATTTGATTTCCATTGATAATTTTTGTGTGATTTTGTTGTCAGCACATTCAACTATGTAATAAACAATGTATTTAATAAGAATATTCATTCAGATCTAGGATGTCTTATTTTTGTGTTCCCTTTATTTTTTTGAGCAGTGTACATATTTTCACCACAGTTGAGTGGGGCTCTCTAGGACATATGGGCATATATGGAGATCTTTCCCATATATCTTTTTTTTTTAATTCATTCAGATTTCTGTATCCTTCCTTTATATTTTTGATAAATAACTCAAGGCAGCGAACATATCCAACATACCTTCCTCCTCTTATTTTCTCCGCAACAACAATTTTGTGAGGTTGGTTGGGCTAAGAGAGAGGGAGTGTTCAAAACGCATCCAGTAGGCAATCATGTCTAAGGTGGGACTAGAATTCAGTCTCCAGGCAATTGGTGCGAAGTCATATAGCTGGATTTTGTGCTTAAGCAGAATTAGAACTCGCAGTCTCCCTATGATTGACCCAAAGACATACAGCTGGCTTTGATGGCTAAGGCAGGACTAGAATTGCCAGCCTCCTGGTTTCTATCCTGGGGCTTTAACCACTGGACCGAACTGGCTCATATAGCCTGCGCTCTCTTGGAACTAGAAGACGAGACGATTGGAACGTGGGGCTTTCACAGCATTCAAATCAGCTCACACCATTCAACAAGATCTCCCATCGTTCACCAGCGATCCACTCACCCATCCTGCAATCCCGGGCGCTGCAAATAGAGAAGGAAGAATTTCTGGCAAATAAGAGGAAGGAGAGGGTGATCCACTGGGGTGCTTAGGGCTTGGTGAGCCCATCGGTAGATCAGCAGGCGCTGTAGAGAAGGCACGATTGGCAGCTTGAGCTGGGCCTGAGCTTTCTGCAGGAGGAAGGAGGGAGGGGAGAAAGGAAGGAAAGAAGGAGAAAGGGAGGAGGGAGAGAAGGAGGGAAGGAAGGGAGCAAGACAGGAAGGAAGGAAGGAAAGAAAGGGGAGGAAGGAGGGAGGGGGGAAAGAAAAGAGGGAGAGGGAAAGAAAGGAAGGTGGGAGGGAGGGAGGGATGGTGGGGAGAGGAAGGCAGGCAGGGAGGGAGGAAGGAAGGAAGGAAGTGGGAGGAAGAAGGAAGGAAGGGAAGGTGGGGGAGGGAGGGGGAAAGGAAGGAAGGTGGGAGGGAGGGAGAGGAAGGCAAGGAGGGAAGATGGGAGGAAGGGAAGGAGAAAGGGAGAAAGGGGGAGGGAGGGAGAGGAAGGAAGGCAGGGAGGGGAGGGAAGGGGGAAAGGAAGGGGAGGGAAGATGGGAGAGGAAGGCAGGGAGGGGGGAGGGAGAGGAAGGGAGGAGGAAAGGAAGAAATGGGGAGGGAGGTGGAGAGGAGGAGAGGGAAGGAAGATGGGGAAGGAGGGACGGAGGGAGGGAGAGAGAGGAAGGAAGGCAGGCAGGCAGGGAGGGGAGGTGGGGAGAAAGGAGGGGGAAAAAAAGAAAGGTGGGAGGGAGGGAGGGAAGGTTAGAGGATGTTCAGTAATTGGGTCATTCGTTGTTATATAACATTTAATTCCCACAGCTTCACTGTTCTGAAGCATTGCCAAAAGAGAGATACAGTACAATGATTTTTTTAAAAAATGTTGACATATTTGGTAGAAATGTAAAGACTGCCAAGAAGCATGGGGATCAGATGTGCTTATTTGAGTCAGAAAATATAGGTTATCATGGATAAGCAGACTGAAAGAAAACATAGGATTTTGTTCCCATAGGTGACAACGGCCTCAGGAGACTTTAGTATGCGCAGAAGTGGAAAGGAACACAAATTCCCACAACTGAGGAATGGGTTTTGAAATGAATGGAGTTGGCAGAGATGCCAAAACTCACTACTTTGGTGGAAGACAAAAAGATTTACCTGGCTTTGCTTTCATCTAGAGAGCACGCTTGGACTCCTTGCTCGAGAAAGATAAAAATGCAGTTCTGCTTTGAGGGTTTGACAATTAGATTTGTTAGGATGATGAAAATACTGTGTGTTTTAATTCTTATTATACTGCGTGTCCACTATATTTATTTTTGCTGATGTTTAACCTCAGAGCAAGAAATTTCTTGTTATAGGCTTATTTGGATTGTTTAATCTGTGTATATACAATGTTTTCATGTTTCCTTTTTAACTCGAGAGTCGTTTTAGCGCAAGATCCAGAAAACGTGAACAGAACTGGCCCACAGAATCACAAGACTCAAATGAATGGATAACAACATCAAAAGTTTAATGTCCTATTTATTTGTACCTGTACTGAAAAAAAGTAGGAAGTCAGTCCCTCCCTTTTTTGTGACTTTATAACTTTTTTTTTCCTTTTTTGATCTTTCTCCCTCAAAGTTTTCTTTTTGTTATTTTGTATTTTTTTTTAAAGAATAAAGTTGTTTAAAAATGCTTAAACAAAACTTAGGTTTTTTTTTAAAAAAAAGGAGTAACTGAATAAAATCTCTTTTGAGAATTTATATTATGATTCTAGTCTCCTCAAATGTAAATAATACAAGGTATTATCCAAAAAGAAATACAGAGCGGTTTCAGCTAATCAAAGGTTTGGCAACATCTCACATTGTTGATGCTCTCTGAATTTGGTTGTTTTCTTGCAGATGTTTCCTTGCTCAAACTAGGTAATATCATCAGTGCTGGCAAGGAATGGGTTCTGCAGAGCTCTGCAAAGCCCTTTCCTAACTAGTGGATGATGTAATCTAGTTGGGTAATGAAACGTCTGAAAGAAAACAAACAAGCTCAGAGAGCACCGAGGACCCCTCATTTCAACCCTGAAAGCTACAAATATTCTTTTTTGATCAATATCTCACATCCTTCAGGTGGTGGGCCGGGAAAACCATCGTTCTGGGAGATGTTATTTAAATAAAGAATAATTTGCGGATTTACCTTCAGAGTCTGCTCTGGTGAATCGGAATTGGTAACCAACTCCCTCACTACAACTCTACGGAGCTGGGAATCCTCTTCAAATATGGACTCCATATTCAGAACACTCCATGCAAACCAAACCTGTAAATTAGAAAGCAACATCGGTCTATTTATTTATTTGTTTTATCTATCTATATAAAAGCGAAATACCACACTCACGCATCATCACAAAATCTCCAGAACCTTTAAAGCCTACAAACTTGAAATTTGGCATGTATGTTCCTCTTGGCTTCTAGGTGCTCACTATGAAAGGATTTTTCGAAATGACCATCAGAGCATTTAGTATTTCCTATATTATTATTATTAACACATGGCCGGGGGAGGGCCAGCGGAGAAGGAAATCTGGTTGTAAATGGGCTGAGGCGGGTGGCTGGGGGTGGAAGCCAAGACTCCATGCCTTAAACGTCCTAAACTCACCTGTAGCATTCCCTGCCTCCTCATTCTAGGAGAAAGCACAATTGTGATGACCCGGGGCGTGGCACAAAGACAACACAGTCACATAAGTTAAGAAGCGTCCATTTAGTGCCTCCAACTTTGCCTCCAACTTCGGCTGGAGAAAAAAAACTCTCTCAAGAACAGTCTTTAAGTGGAGGAAATTCAGTCCCAAAACAAAGTACATACAAACTGTAAATAAAAATCCACACAAACCACGCTGCAGTAATTAACTTGACAGGGCAGGAGAACGAATTGCAGACTTGAAAGGCTAACAAAACACACACAAGTTGGGAAGATGCCAGGAACACAGATAAGCCTCGACAATAACAGATACAATTTGATTCCAACAAGTTGCTGTGCGTAGCTTTCCTTTTTAAACACTGTGTTCCCAGCTGCAGCTAATGAAGGGAATCAGGGCCCTTTCCTCCCCCGTAAGCCACGCAACTCACGTTGCTCCCTTCTCCATTCCTCCCTGCGTACCCTAGGATGAAGAGGGGGTGGACCTGGGTCTTCCTCTGAACGCCCTCTCCCTTGCTCTACCTCTCCCCTACTCTGCCCAGCTGGACTTTGCCCTTCCCCAGTTTCCTCCACAGCCAATGGAGCCACACTCCCACTCCCTGTCAGCTGCTTGGCTTCCCCCTCAGAATCAGATTCCGACAGGGGCATGACAACAATCATGTCTCCGCTACATGGTCTTGCAAGACCATCTTAAGTCTATGGAGGAAGATGGTTTTATGAGAAGCTAGGAAGCATCGGGTGCAACAGAAACAAGAGTTGCGTTCGAAGCACTAAAAATTTATCCCATGGTATCTCTGCACAAGAATGTGATTTAGTAATGATCAAGGCAAATTGGCACTAGATAAAGAGTCCAAGGAGTTCACAGTGGCAAGGACTTACGTCTCTTGTGGCTGCAAAACTGATAGCACATTTGACCCCACCTTCAGGCACCACCTGGTTATTTCCTACAAGAACGGGCCATAAACCCCAAGCAAAATTTTAGTCCATCAACTCCAGGATGCTTTCTTTACCTGCGTGGAATTAGCATTTCCCTCTATGAAGGACGGTGTGATGTTGCCTGCCACAATCCAGCTGACCAAGGAAGACAGCAGCCCTTTGTCGCTGTGATAGCCCAGAGCATTCTGGGAAATTTGAGGAAAAGAGAAGACATGTGGGTTAAGACAAAGCTGCCTTCTTACAGAGTCCTTCCATAACAAAGAAACATTTAAAAAAAAAAAATTCTGGGACTGAAATTTTTAAAAATAAATGTCGATCCCTGGTTAGGGCCCATCGAAAATCCACTTTAAAAGAACTGTGTCAATCCATCACTCAACTTGTTTGGATTTAGCAGGGCCCATTCTGTAAACCCAACCATTACAGTTATAAAATACAATTTATGGCTTTAGGTATTGTGCCAATTCAGACAAATGTAGTTTAGCTAATGAGCAAATCATGTGATGCTTCCAGGTTAACATGCAACAAGGAGATTCATTTACAACGCTCGATCCCAAAAAAATATGGCTATTTAATTCATGTCGGCTGTGTTTAATCAGCTACCATTAACAGACTCATTTTTAGAGAAGGGTAATAATCCAATTTTCCTTTCTCTGTAAACAAGAAAATTTGAATCCTAGCTTCTCCTTTTGTGTGTGTGTTATGTGTGCGTGCCACTTTTTGTGTGTGTTCTAATCAAAAGGAGATTTCTAATGCAAAAAATAAATTAATTAAAAAGTGTCTCAATTAAAAAAAATACTCATAAGAAGCAAAATATGTAAATATTTCTATCCAGGCTGTTATATTTCACTAGGCTTGCCTGCAGGAACTACCAGACTTATAATATCCATATCTCCCTCCCTTCCTCTCTCCCTCCCTCCGTCTATCTATCTATCATCTTTTAATGACTCTGTAATCCCTTACATCTCAGGAACATGGTTAACGAATCTTGCGGCATTTCACTGATCCCGTTGTGTAAGATCTGTTGGGTGCAAAGGATCGGGACCATCCGTCAAGTTGCAGCACAAAAGATTTATTCAAACTTATATATAAGAATCTAGTCAACTAATGTTCAACACTAAATTGGCCCCATATGAGGGTCAGGAGACTTCAGGAGGGCTTGGTCTTAGACCATTTGTGGCAATGTAAGGATTCTAAGCTGATGACGCACTTAACTCCACCCTCCAGTTCTGCCTGCTATTCTCCTACAACAGGGGTTCACAATCCCAGGTCCATGGACCGGCACCGGGCCGTGGAATGCCAGAAATTGGGCCACACAAACAAGCGAAGCCCCATCCGTGGGATGCAGGCAGCACGTGAAACCACGCTCCCACCGGGCCGTGAACATTTTCTCTCCACAGGTTGCCCAAAAGGTTGGGGGCCATTATCCTACAAGATCTCAATCCACTGGAGAAGCCTGTGGATTTATTGTGGCCTGTCAGCCGTTGGTCCCTCTAGCAGTCGAATAAGAGGAGGAGGAAGGGGAGGCATGGGAGTCAGGGTCAGCATCAGCGCTCTGAAGGGGATGAGGAAATGGAGCTGTGTGCGTGTGTGAGAGAGAGAGAGGCAGAGCCTGGATCATCCATCAGCCCTCAGATAGAGAGTTCAACAGCCCCTAGGTCTGGAGGTGGCTGATGAGGAAGAGGAGGAACAGCTGGGTCCAGTGCCCGACACGCAGATGTGCATAAGGCAGAGGAGAGGAGAGCAGTGGAAATCTATGGGCCGGTCCTTGGGACAGAAGAGCCACCGCTCCTAGCTCTGGGGATAAAAGGCAGAAGGCGGAGATGAATAGGTGTGGCAGACAACTATATATCTCCCCTGCTGGACAGACTTGTTAGCCTGTGGTGAGAGAGAAACCTTTTGCCGGGGCTGCCAGCATTCCTAATAAAGGAATCACGGCTTCAACTATAGAGGGGTTGTTGTGTTTGGGGAGCCTGGGTCAGAACAGGAGTCTTCTCCCAATCCGTGAGAAAGTCAGTGACAATGGGGGACCCATACCTTGTGTTGTTGATAGAGCAACTTCTGCACACAATCCTCTTGGTTGAACTGAAAGGCGGCTTGGCACAAACCGTCCATCAGTTCGAGGACGGCTCTCTCCTTGTGCCAAAGCTGTTGGCTGGTCAAGACCTGGACCCAGAATTCCAACACGGCAGCCGGGCCGATTCCACCGGGGTGGCTGCTCATAAAAATGTGGCTCTGTCAAAATAAAGCAGAGAGTTGACTTATCGGGCTCATAGTCAAAAGGGGAAAAGATCCGAGTCCTATACAGGCAGTCCTCGACTTATGACCATGAATTGAGGTCAAAATTTCCATGGCTAAAAGCAAGGCGGGTTGTTATGGGAGTCCCGTTTTACGACCCCTTTTTTTTTGCCATGGTTGTTAAACGTATCACAACAGTTGTTAAGGGGATCGTGCAGTCGTTAAGAAATTCCTGGCTTCCCTCATTGACTCTGCTTGTTGGAAGCTCCCTAGTAAAGTCACAAATGACAATCCCACCTACCTCCCCCCGCCCTCCGTCCCTCCGCAAGGACTGTACAACCATCGTAAATACATGCCAAGTTCCCCTAGTTTCATTATATGACAGCGGGGATGCTGCAACAGTTTGAGACGGTCTGTAAGTCATACTTGTAGTGCTATTGTGAGCAGTATTATGAGACATGGTGGCGCAGTGGTCAGAGTGCAGTACTGCAGGCTAGTTCTGCTGACTGCCAGCTGGCTGCAGTTTGACAGTTCCAATCTCACCAGGCTCAAGGTTGACCCAGCCTTCCTGTTGTGGTCCGCGGAGCTGGCAGCAGAGTCGCACAGTGGGGAGGAACATGGGCCAGTTCTGGAGTCTGGGGAGGACTCGGATGAGGGATCTGCCTCCGACACAGAGAAAGGGCCAGGGCCATCTGAAAGTTATGTGTTGACTCCGGAGTCTCCAGTATCTGACATCAGCGAGGCAGAGGAACAGGGGGAGACTGTTCCCAGTGTGCTCTTGCGCAGAGCTGCCAGAAGGCAAGAACAGTTAAGACAAAAGGGGCGACTCGGGAGTAAGGCTTGGAGGTGATTGGCCCCTCCCATAAGATATAAAGGAGGAGCAAAGGGACAGGAGCCTTTGCAGGAAGCAACTTTGTTCGTTCTGGTCAGTTTAAACTCCGAAGCTCCGTGGTTGACTTTGTGCGCCGTTTGGCCTTGTAGAACATCTAATTGGCAATTTAGTCGTTGGCAGCATTTCAAGGGAGATAAAGGTGGGTGCTTATCAGCCTTATCCCGAGGGACTGTGGTAGACTTCTGTTGGACTATTCATAAACTGTTTGGGACTCATTACAGGCCATGAATGCATATTATTCACAGCCGTTGAAATAATAAAAAAAAATGTTTTTGGGGAACAGTGTGTGATTGTTACTATCTCAGGAAGTCTTGGTCAGAACAGTTCCATCCTTCTGAGGTAAAATGAGGACCCAGATTGTTGAGGGACAATAGGCTGACTCTGTAAAGTGCTTAGAGAGGGCTGTAAAGCACTGTAAAGCCGTATATAAGTCTGAGTGCTATGATGAAAATATAACACTGTGGTATGATAAAAATAAAATATATAGATACTTTCAAAGACATTATGTCAGGAATGCCCTACTCCTAGTATGAGGAAAAGTTAAAGCAAAAAATTACATGAAGATACCAGTCTGGCTCTCTACAATGGAAGCTCTGACACATCAAAATGTGGTAAACTTGGAAAAAATGGTAATGTATAAAGATATTTTAAATGAGAAAGGGGAACTTAAAACTAATCAACAACTGCTAAATCAGGAGGTGGACCTTACATGGTGGCCACACTTGCAAATACGATCAAGATATGAAAAAGAGGTAAAGAGATATATATGGTTTCTATAAAGAGCCAACAATATTTGATCTAATACTATGAGGTGTGGATGAAAAGCTAATCAAGAAAACATAGTTATTTATTAAGTCTTAAAATGGAAGGTGAACAAGGGAAAGAAACAGTGATAACGTTAAGTGCTATTGCTATTGTAACTTGCAACAGTCATTAACAAAAGGTTGTAAATTGAGGACTACATTGTTTTTGTTTCCTGGTTCTCCTTATCTGATTGAAACCAGTGTAGAAAGTTAGCACCCACCCCTTTCCTAGAAAAATGAAATATTTTAGGATTATTAAAAAGGCAGAATATTTCCCCTAAAACAGAAGCAGAATCTCAAAGAGGGAGAAACTCATTCCCCCCCACACACACACCTTGGTTAATGGGCCAGTAACTGTGAGACGGATCTTGGAGTCTTAGTGGACAACCAACTAAATATGAGCCAGCAGTGTGCAGCAGCAGCCAAAAAAGCCAATGCAATCCTAAATTGCATTAACTAGAGGGATACAACCAAAATCAAGGGAGGTACTAATACCCCTCTATAAAGCCTTAGTAAGGCCACACCTAGAGTACTGCATCCAGTTTTGGTCACCACATTATAAAGATGTTGAGACCGTAGAAAAGGTACAGAGAAGAGCAACCAGGATGATGAGGGGACTGGAGGCTAAAAGATACAATGAACGGTTGAAGGAACTGGGCCTGGCTAGTCTAGTGAAGAGAAGGACCAGGGGAGACAGGAGAGCAGTCTTCCAATATTTGAGGGGCTGCCACAGAGAGGAGGGGGTCAAGCTATTCTCCAAGGCACCCGAAGGCCAGACAAGGAATAATGGATGGAAACTGAACAAGGAGAGATTTAACCTGGACATAAGGAAAAACTTTCTGACAGGGAGAACAATCAACCCATGGAACAGAAGTTGCCCTCGGAAGTTGTGGGAGCTTCATCACTTGAGACCTTCAAGAGGAGACTGGACTGCCATTTGTCAGAAATGGTGTAGAGTCTCCTGCTTGGGCAGGGGGTTGGACTAGATGACCTACAAGGTCCCTTCCAACTCTGATTATCTGTTATAGACATTCATTTTCTAATATTTTCTAATGTTTCCATTAAGGCCTGAGCCAGTCTATTTTACCTAACAAAGATCTATTCCAGGTAGAGCTATAATAGGAATTGCCCAAAGCCCTTTTCATTACATCATCATCCAGCAAGAGTCAACCAAGCCTGGTACTCAGGACAGCCTACAAATTGCTCCTGCACGGCCCCATGGGAGTCTGACAACCAATCAGAACACAAGCTCAAATTCAAATCCCAACAGAGGGCATAAAACCCCGGGACTCTAAGCATCTCTTCCCTTTTCTTCTTCACCCAAGAGCTCCAAGCCATGTGGTCCTGTCCACCATTAAACCATCTTCCCAAACAGCCTCCATGTTTCCAGTGTCTTTTTCCCCACTTGGAACTGAACCCAGATGGACATTTCTTCCAACACCAGAATAAGGATCTTCAGGGACACACACACACACACACACACACCGAGGCGCTTCTATTTCCTGACCTGAATCATGGAGTTCAACAGCGTAATGTTTTTGCCGTAACTCGTGCCGGTCAAATGCTGAGTCACCCTGTGGGTCATTTGCTGAGTCATCCCTTGGGGAACCCCGCTGTCCAGCTGAAGGAACTGGTGGAAGAAGGAGAGAAACCTAGGGAAGCCACAGACAAGTTGGCCATCTAATTATCCAATCACAGGCAGAGGTTTCTCCATTCATATTTCCCCCCCCCCAACCAAAACCCCGCCTCCATCCCGGCGCTGAAAGAGCCTTTGGACTCAGTCGGAGCAACCCATAACAAGCGGGACTATCCAGGGGTGGGCTTCAAATTTTTTTAGCTAAGGGTTCTCTGCTAAGGGTGGCTGGGTGGGTGTGGCCATGGTGGGCGTGGCCTAGTCGGCCTCCTGCACCGTGGCAGGAGGGGCGTTTTTTGCTTTCCCCGGACTCCGGAGGCTTTCCTCAAACCTCCAGGAGGGCGAAAACGGCCTCCCCAGGCTGTGGAGGTTGGAAACGGGCCCATTTCCAGCCTTCCTGAACTTCTGAGAGGCCCGTTTTTCACTCTCCCTGAGGCTCCACATCGGCCCTGCACCCAAAATGAGCTACATGGGTGGGGCAGGGTGGGCGGGGCCAGCCAGGAGTGGGATTTGGAGGTTTTCCGAACTGCACAGAATCTTAGCTAGCGGCTCTCCTGAACGCCTGTGAGACTCCAACAGTCCACCCCTGGGGCTATCAATATACAGGTACTCCAACATACTTGGTTGGGAAAAAATGATAAAGCAACATATAGATTTGAAGCCAAAAAATATTCTTATTGGGCATTCTGCTGGAAAAGTATGATAAAAGGACTATATATTTGACTAGCTGGACACCCATGCTTCGCTACAAAACTATGTGGTCGGGCTTAAGTTTTTGGGGAGGAAAATAAGGAGAAAAATATTCTGCCTCTGCCTACCAGCATCCATCATTATTCATCTGGCAAGTGTCCTGTCAGTGTGTGAGAGAGTTGAGGTCTGTTTGGAAACTGAAATAGTATTTGCTCTGTAAGCAAGGAGACAGCAAGGAGCCTGAGCGTGGCTTTGCTCAACTATTCTGTACTAAAGCTGCTTGGTGCTGTGAAACTGAAACTGAAACTCCTCTCCTCTGCTTGTGTTTTGCCTTTGGAACAGATTTCTTTTCAGGTGGGGAGGGGGAGTAGAACTCCTTAGCATCAGAGCATGTTAATAATAATAATATACAAAATACTAATGCTCTGATGGTCATTTCGAAAAATCCTTTCTTAGTGAGCACCTAGAAACCAAGAGGAACATAGGTGCCAAATTTCAAGTTTGTAGGCTTTACGGTTCTGGAGATTTTGTTATGATGTGTGAGTGGCATTTCGCTTTTATATAAGTAGAAGATTTTACATGTATTAACTGCAGCCAGAATTGTAGTTGCACGACAATGGAAAAGTGATGAGATCCTGACAGATAAAGTGTGTAATAACAATAAAAATTTAGAATGTGCAGAAATGGATAGATTAACGGTTACAATTAAGGAAAAAGAAGAAACTGAATATTTTGTGATAGGGGACTTATTTTACCAATGGTTACGATAATAAAAACTGAAGCTCGAAATATGGGGATGTAAAAAGGACAAATATGTTATAAAGGAGATTCGTTATAAAGTAGATAAAAGACCAGCCCAAACCACGATAAAGAACAAGGTAACTTTGAACTCACTTTTCGTTCTTGAGAAGGTAATAATGGCACGGGTAGAAGAGAAGCAACACCTTATCCAGGACGTGGACGACGGTTCTCAAATGTCGCGATTGTACCAAAATGCCCAAATAAGGGATCCCTTCAGCACAGAACTTCTCAATGCTATCAACATAAAGAAACAAAATAGATTTCTTTTTGCAGATGTTTTCCAACCCCTGGTATCAAACTTCTTTCTTTTCAAGATCCTCTTCTTTAAGCTAGATAGGAAAATGGGTCCTCAGATGTTCTATCCAGCTGCCCACCTGTTTGTAACGAATTACTCCTATGTTGGCTTAGCTATTATGGTTTCCTATGAAGAGAACTTTGAGAATTGTAATTCAAAAAGAAAAAGAAAGAAATGGGAAGATTTCAAGCCATCTTTACCAGCGTGGGGGGAAAACAAAACAAAACACCTCATTCTGAACTCAATAAAATTAGCAACACAGAAGCTCCGAGGTGGTAACATTTATTCTGATGGAATGAGACTTGATGGGCAGGTTTTGCCACAGGCGATGAGAACAACTGTCAGTGGGACTGCACTGTCTTGTGTTTTCAGCCACAAATTTCCAACCCTGCCCTTTGCTACCCACAGTGAATGGTTATTAAGCAGACAGCACGTTAGAATAGGATAGGATAGGATAGGATAGGATAGGATAGGATAGGATAGGATAGGAATAGAAATAGAAATAGAAATAGAAATAGAAATAGAAATAGAAAATATGGAATGGAACGGAACGGAACAGAATAGAATATATGGAATGGAACAGAACAGAATAGAATTCTTTATTGGCCAAATGTGATTGGATGTACAAAGAATTTGTCTTTGGTGCATAAGTGTATCTCAGTGTATATAAAGAGTCATTAAGAGTCAAGAATCATAAAGTACAACAATAATAATCATTAGGAAGTCACAATGATCCGTATTTGTAAAGCAGACCCACAAAACCACAAATGATATGCTCGAATGCTGCTCGTTGAGAAAGCCACATGAAATTCACGAAGGAAACCATTGTGACTAAACCAGAATTATTTACTATCCTGGCCATCCCTGTGATGACCTGGGGCGTGGCACAAAGGCGACACAGTCAGATAAGCAAGAAGAGTCCCTTTATTATCTCCAACTTTGCCCCCAGTGTCCAGGTTACCTTCGGGCTGGAGAAAAACTCTCCCAGGAACAGCCTTTGACTGTAGAAAATTCAGCCCAAAACAAGATACATACAGACTGTAACTTAAAATCCAAACAAACCAAGCTGCAGTAATTAGTTTGGCAGGGCAGGAGCAGGAATTTCAAACTTGAAAGCACGGCAAAACTCATACAGTTGGGAAGATGCCAGGAACACAGATAAGCCACGACAATACCAGATAAATTCACGATTTTGTCCCAACAGCTTGCTGCGCGCAGCTTGCCTTTTTTATACACTGTGTTCCCAGCTGCAGCTAATGAAGGGAATCAGGGCCCTTTCCTCCTCCATAAGCCATGCAATTCACGTTGCTCTCTTCTCTGTTCCTCCCTGCGTGCCCTAGAATGAAGGGGGGGTGGGCCTGGGTCTTCCTCTGAATTCCCTCTTCCTTGTTCTACCTCTCCCCTGCTCTGCCCAGCCGGACTTTGCCCTTCCCTGGTTTCCTCCACAGCCAACGGAGTCACACTCCCACTCCCTGTCAGCTGTTCAGCTTCCTCCTCCGAGTCAGATTCCGACAGGGGCATGGTAGTCCCTGACATCCAAACTTAGCCATAAGGAGAAAAAAAGTTATCGGAGCGTCAAAGAAACTACGGATGTGTTTAGGAAACATCAGTTGCAAGCACAAAGAAAATGAATATTTACCTGTGGCCAACAGCGGACATAGCCAAGGCAAGGTAGCAGCCAATTGGGAGGCTAGATCTGACCGCCTTCAGCAGCGGGTGAAAGGTGGGCGAATCCGCCAAGTCAGGTATCAGTGCTGGAGCCCAGTGTCCCTGCACGCCGTAATCGTTCATGTGCAGCTTTAACCTCAAAACCATCCCCCAGGCCCACTGATTGAAGGAGCTTTCTGCAGTTTCCCCATAACGGACAATGCTGGCCAGATAGGAGACCTGGAGAAACAGAAGCGACATAACAGATTAACAGAGTTGGAAGGGATCTCGGAGGTCTTCTAGTGGCAGGGTTCCCAACCTGTGGGCCACGTCCACTATGGGGCCGCAGCCTATTCACAACCGGGCGTCATGAGCGGACGGCTGGTGCGCACAGCCCACTTTGCGTGAGCATCCCATGTACTTGGGGCCCCACTCGTGCAAGTGTGGCGAGGGCTCAGGACCCCACTCGTGCAAGTGTCATAGGAGCTTGGGGGACCCTGCTTGGGTATCACGGGTGCATGGTGTCTTTTGGATTGACAGCTGAGCAGTTTTTTGAACAGCATGGGTCTGGCAGTTACCCCCATTTAAATCATGACTCTCGAGCCAAACTTCCAAAACTTAAAGAAGATTTATTAGGAGTAAACATGCCAGCATGGCCTGGGTGTAGCCGACTCTGAGACACATCATTCATTGTCAACCTTGACCCTGGTTTTCCCCCACCCCCTGGGTGTATTGTAATTCCTATTCTCCAATGGGACACATCCATAGCCAAGAGTCATCAGTCATGTTCTCCAGTTAGAATTTTGCACGGCAGAAACTTCAGTCACCTAGTTACTATCTTTGAAAACATTGATGGAATGCAGTTTCAGTTTGCAAGCTGCTGCACTGCTCCCCCCTCTCCCTTTCTGTTGGCAACTCTAAAAAGACCAAAGAAATATTTTATGAGTTGACACACAGGGCCCCCACTAGTACAGGCGCTTGGAGCTCCACTCATGCAGGCATCTTGGGTGCTCGGGGCCTCATTCGTGCGAGCATCGCAGGTTTTCAAGGCCATGCCCACACATGCGTATGCGCCTGCCCTTCCCACAAAACCATCCCCAATTCTCTCCACCCCCCACCCCCCCACCCCCCACCCCATGCTCCAGGCCACCAACCCGGAAAAGTTGGGGAACTCTGTTCTAGTCCAAAGAGTTGTCCAATATCCTTCAGTTCATCTCAACAGAACAAAAGTCCTTTATTGTTCAAAAAACTGCTCAGCTGTCAATCCAAAAGACAGGTTAGGAGTTACAGGTAGTCCTCAACTTACGACTGCAATTGAGCCTGAACTTCCTGCGGCTAAACGAGACAGTTGTTAGGTAGCTTTTGCCCCATTTTATGACCTTCCTTGCCACAAGTGTTAACTGCAATCATAACTATGAGTCAGCTGCCAAGCTCCTGGATTTTGATCGTGTGTGCATGAGGAATAGTTATGTGAGCATGGGCATTAGTCATAAGTATGATTAAAAAGGAACATTTAAGATGCAGTGTCAAACTAGTTCAGTTTTAATAGAAGTGAATTATTTTTAGTCCAGGGATGAACTGTGGAGTTCTTGAACTGGGCTTGGTTGTTTTCTTGTAGACGTTTCATTGCCCAACTAGGTAACATCATCAGGGCTAGAGAGTGTGGGATCTTGCCCCTTGCTTGTATTGAGCAGGGGTCTCCAACCTTGGCCACTTTAAGACTTGTGGACTTCAACTCCCAGAGTTCCTCAGCTAGCTTTGCTGGCTGGAGAATTCTGGGAGTTGAAGTCCACAAGTCTTAAAAGTTGCCAAGATTGGAGACCCCTGGTTTTGAGTAACATACCCTGCCTAAACAAGGGAGCAAATCCCATACTCACCAGCACTGATGATGTTACCTAGTTGGGTAATGAAACGTCTGCAAGAAAACCACCAAGCTCACGGAGAGACAAGAAGTCCATCTGAGATCAGTTTTTTTAGCTTATGGCTCCAGGAAAACTGGGAGAACTTATAAAATTGCTTCTTTTTGACAACTATGTTGAATATGACCGATAGCTTCAAACGGGAGAGGTTCAAAAGCAACGAAAGGGAGGCACCTGTTTGAAGCTCTCAGAGAGGAGTCCGCTGTATGGCTTCTGGGGGAGATACTTCTGATAAGCTTCCAAGACCATCAACGCCACCTCCGCGTGGACTGCTGGGCCGATGTGAAGGTGACCCTGTTGTTCAAAAGCAATCCAGCTGATTTCCAAGACAAGGAGACATTTGTGTGTCCCACATTTGGTAGTTAGGTGGCTGCTCTTTTAAACATCTCATTTATTTATTTATTTCAGACATAAAACCATGCCAGAAATAGGACACGGGAAGTTCTATGTAATCGTCTAATACGCTGGGGCAGGTTTAAACGAAACCAAAATTACTAGAGGAAAAACAATGTATTAAAGTCTTGTGCGTTTAAAAGAACCATCCTGGGGTATATTCTTTTCAACAGAAAGCCACCTTTAGAAGGTAAAGACTGTTGACTGGTAAATCCCACAGGATAGCATTGTTCAAACTCAGAAACGTTAAGATGCATGAACTTCATCCGGGGAGAGGAGAGGGAGGAAGGAGGAGAAGGGAGGGGAGAGGGAAGAGGAATTAACAATAGCACTTAAGACTTATATACCGCTTCCCAGTGCTTTACAGCCCTCTCTAAGCAGTTTACAGTATCTGCCTCTTGCCCCCAACAATCTGGGTCCTCAGGGGAGGGGGAGGTCAGAGGAGAGGGGACGTAAGGAAGGGGGAAGGGGGGCAGAGGATGAGAGGTGAGAGTAGATGAGAGTAGAGGGAAGGGGACCTAGGAGAGGGGAGGGGAGAGGGAAGGGAACCTGGGGGGAGGGGGAAGGAAAGGGGACCTAGAGGAGGGGGGAGAGGAAAGGAGAGGAGAGGCACTCTGGGATTCTGGTGTTCCCTCAGCTTGGTTTTCTTCTTGCAAACAATTCATTACCAAATTAGGGATAACATTTGAAATGATTTGACGGGAAACATTTGCAAGACAACGAAGCCCAGTGACCACCAAGATCCCAACGTTTCAACCCCGAACTTTGAAGAGGCTCTGCGATGGCTAAAATTAAAGACGTCGCCTGCTTCACGGAGTAAACTTTATACACACGTGCTGGTCGCCAGGGCCCCAGTTCATCTCTTCCAGGATAATGCAAGCGAGTTTGTTTTCGACTTCTGTCAGGTTGTAATTCAGGAGCCAGTCACGGATCAGGGCAACTTCGGAAGCAGACGGTTTCCAGAGACGCATCGGCAGTTCTTTGAACAAATAAAGAGTAACCTGGCCAGAAAAAAACAAAAACCCACAAAGACAAGCGTGAGGAGAGAATTTTTGCGTCGAGTTTTGAAGGCGTCGAGTTATAGGCATGGACGGGGAGGAAAAAAAATCTCTCTTCTGTTGGGTCGCTAAAAGTCAACGAAGAACCTTCCTTCCCGGAGACTCCAAAATACTGGCTAAAAATAAAAAAAAAAATGATTGCAAGAGATCACTAACGAACAAATAGAATTGGAACTGGAATTATTCTTGCTGGGGATATTTAAAAAGAAATATGGGAGAAATATAAAATATATACTATTACATATCTTGACGGCAGCTAGGAATTGCCTATGCCCAATGTTGGAAGCATAAAAGTAAACCACCAGATGAACTGATTATCCAAAAAATAATGACTTGTGCTGAGATGGATAAATTAACCCTGATGTTACAAGAGAAAGAGTATTATAGGACTTGCAAAAAAAAAATATGGTAGGATTGGATTGAACTAAGAGAGATGGATGATGAAAGAATTAATGATAAGCAACATATAGGTTAAATGTCTACATTCACATAAATTGTATGTATTTGTAAATAATGCACAAAATAGAAGCACAGGAGATGAATGCCACAAACTGTCAATGTCAAGATATTTATATTTTTTGTTTGTTTTTAAAAGATATAAAAGATTAATAAAGTTTTTTTAAAAAAAAAAAGTCAACAAAGACTCTGAGGGCACCACAACCAATTTATGGGTTGATTGGACCCTATTTTGAGGCACCTTCTTATTTTGTGGTGCTTTGAAGGAAGACGCCTACCTAATGGGTCAGCCAGGAAGAAAAGATTAAATGTCACGTTTTCCAAATGATAGAAAAGCTATCGTCTGACGTGGCAGGAGGCCAGATTAAGGTCTCCTTACATCTACTCAACCCACCATATTGGGGAGGCGGGGGATGTTAGGGGTTGTCCTCTCCTGAGGAGGCCCACCTGGTGGGACCAAGGAGAAAGGCCTTCTCCACGGTGGCTCCCTTCCTGTGGGACATCGTTCTGGCGGAAATAATACCCACCCCCACCCTGGCTTTTGATGCTTTCCAAAAGGCCCTGAAGAGATGGTTTTGCTAACCAGGCTGTGGGGATGCCCAGGTGATACCGAGCCCCTCAAGTGGTCGGTCTGATTGTTGCCACCGGTAGGTCATGGTTTATTTGGTTTGGTAGTGGGGTTTTATTTCTGGGAAGGGAGGGAGG